GAAACTGGAGAGCTTTTAAAAATGTGCTGAAATGCAGCTTTTGGGTAAAATATTCCAGTGTGCACGTGTGTAAGGGGGTAATATGAGAGGCAGCTGCAGCTTCTGGGAGCAGGGTTAGATGAGTTACAGCTTCTCCTCAGCATCCTCAGCTCCCCATCCACCCTGCACTGCTCTTAGGATCAGGATCTACCAGGAAGGTAGAGCTCTTCACGGGGCTTTTGTCCTTTCTCTACCAGGTCATAAATTATCTTATTTGCTCCCCATTAACTACACAGGCTTGGGGCACAGGGTTCCTTGGGTCTGTCTTACTCCTTCCCTGCCACATGTAGGACTTTAGTCTCTTGGGGAGTAAAACAGTTTGCTGAACTGAGAGGGCTCAAGAAAGGATGAGAAGGTACAATGCACTTGACCGTGTCACAATAGGCACAAGTGAGACACATCCCCCCAGAGATGCCTGGCCCAGATAATGTACTTTCTACCACAGCAGGGTGGTGAAAATGGGTATCTTTAGGTAAGGTGTAAATGTATGTTCAGTGTGGGTTCATCTCCACTCTCCTTTCCTCACTTTCTGACCTGAACAGTAACTGATGAAGCCTGGAGGTTTTATAACTCAAGCCCTTCCTACAGATCTTGCAAAAGATCCAGAAGAGGAATTAACATGTACGTTAGCACCTGAATAAATTCCCTGTGACAGCTATGAGTTTCACACCACTGCAAAGCTCTTGAGGTCCAAGCTCTAACGCCAGACTCAGAGGAAAGTGGTCCCCTGAACCTTCATGTTGCTAATTTTAGCCCAGATGAGATTTTCATAACTTTTTAAGGGACTCAACCAGAGTAACTGTGCTGACAACAAGGGGGAATTAAGGTCTTATGGCACATACAAGGGTCTCAAATGTTGGCATGCCAGAGCCATAAAGCCGCACCGCAGCTGAAGTAGAACCCCATCTTTTGTTTAATTGGGAACCTCTGCCCATAACCAGCTGCTCCTATTACTGAGACACAATAAAGACAGAAATCCTCAAAAATCCCTTGTATTCAGAAATTCAAGCTGGCATGTTATAACCCCTCTGGATTTCTCCAAACCACAGGCCCAAGGAATTCATTGCTGCACATTCACATGTATTTACACGTCTTGCCTAAAAATGTGAAAAACACATCATAAAAGGACTTATTTTTAAGCATCTGCCCTCAAACTTATGCCAGTGCAAGGAGGATCAGCTGTTGGACTGCCAGCCCCAGCAGACAAACTGGCTCCCAAAGTTGCCTTCCCCCAACTTTGCAGCCAAGCTCGGTCTGGGATTTTGCTTTGCTGAGGACACATTTCTATTGGTGTCAGCCCATTTCAAGATTTTCACACTTATTTCTTTAGCCAACCATTGAAATGCAGGCAGGAAAACAAAGTATTTCTCAAAGCCCATGTCCTGAGCTTCTGTACAGCCACCTCTGCCATTCCCATCTGCATCCCTGTCTTCTAGAATAGAAGTCTCTCTCCTGCCATATGACGACTTTTCATTGAGGTCCAATCCAAGTGGGATTAGACCACACAGAAGCCTCTTGGCCATCCTGTGTAGCTGCTGCTACTACAAGAATCCATATTTTCTAATCATGTTGTAATTTATGGAGCTCAGTCTTGGGTTTTTACCCATCGCTCTCTGTTGGCAGGTTGCCGCTGAGCCTTACACCTCTGATGGTTTGAAATCTCTTCCAATTTCCTGCCTGAGTGCATTTGGAGCCAGTTTATATCTATGCTTTTGTGCCAAAGTTGGAGGTTGAATAACTGCTCTTCTTCCTCTAATGCATAAGAAGTGATCATAACCCTTTGATTTGCTAGGCTGGACAAACCAAGCTCTTCTAGGCTCCTCAACAAAAAACATTTCCAGTGTCCTTCCAGTTTATATCCCTCTTTCTTGCACAGGGTTGTCATACATTTTAGCCAGTTTTCCAGAGGAATTTTTATCATACCTTATGCAGTGGTATAATATTTTTATATTACTATCTTAATTCCTGTGTCATAAACATATTCAGAAATATGTATTTATTGCTTTTGAGTAAAGCACTTTGTAGCCTTGCACACTGATGAGCCACAATACAAAAGGTAACTTCTAGCTCTGCTCCTCATTGAAGTGTCTGGATCAATATCTGTGAACACTGGACCAATGCCTTTTTCTCTTCAATAGTGGGCATTGAGTAACCAACATGATTTTCACTAGCTGACAGGTACCACAGAGCAGCTGATGCCTGAATAAGTGTCCAGGAATCCAGTGAGACCTTGTAGGTTTGAATCGATTCCCTTTCAGATGGTACTTAGTAATTTAAGCTGTGGATTGAAGGGACTCTCCAAATTCTGAACTGACCTGCCAAAAACCAATGTCATGTTTGTTGGCCAACTCCTCCCCCCCTGAAATCCTGTAAATTGCTGTGTTGAGCGAGATGTGAACGCTGTCTCCCAAGAATAGTGAGGCAGGAAGGCTGACGTCCAAGTATAATAAGAAAATTGCATTAGTCTTTCAGGGGAACACTTACCTCCCCAGTTCATATGCTGCATAGAGATTTTAATAAAGCAGAATATTGCAAAAAAAGTGGTTTCATTTCATCTGTTTCATGTCAAAAAATACAAAAGCGAAACAGTGAAAGACAGAGAAAAATTCCCTGCCTGCAAATCTGTATTTTCAGCCCAGCCTGACAGCAGTGTCCTCAGCCAGAGCAGAGCCCACCAGCTGCTCCATGGCAGACAACAGCCTTGCAGAGGCTCCACATCACGTGCACACACCTGACACACTGACCAAAGAGCCACACGTCTGTCTGCAGCCTTGATCAGCTCTGGTGAGCCACTGCAGAGGAACCTCCTACCCCCATGGGAGGCAAACAGCCCCTCCTGCACACAGGAGCACCACAGCCTTGTTATACCCCAGCCACATCCTAACTCCTGGAGAAATTCTGCATCTCTGGAAGTGAAATTCCTCACCTCTGGAAGTGCTCAAGGTCAGGCTGGATGTGGCTTTGAGCAACCTGATCTAGTGTGTGGCATCCCTGCTCCTGACGGTGGGGTTGGAACCAGGTGATCTTTGAGGTCCCTTCCAACCCAAACCTTTCTATGGTTCTATGAAATTCAGGGTGCTGCTCTTCACCTGGGGACAAGCCCCAGCCCTGCATTGTGGCTGTGGTACAGCCCAGGGAAGTCACACCTTGTTTTTGTCTCCTTAGTGGCTCATCTAATGTGAAAAGTCACAAAAGGGCTGGCGGATGAGCTTTGCTGAATGGATTTCAGTGCTTGTCTCTGGCTCTGCTTATGGCTGCTCTTCATCTCCATGGTGATTAGAGACAGGTCTGAAGTGGCAAATCTGCTAACAGGCCCAGCGACGTAGACTGAGGAGCATAATGAGAAAGAAGGTGCTCGTATCGAGGAGCACCGTGACCCCTGCAAGAAATAGATGCTGGAAGAACCTAAAAATACATTAACCTGGGTAATGCATGAGATGTCAGTATCTACTGATAGAGCTAATGGGCTTCTATTTTCTCCTGAACACCCCAAACTCCCTGATGGCACACTGTTTCTTAAAGAGCACCTGCAGGATCAAAGATGCACACAGGTCTTCTGGAATATGTCACCACCATGCTGAAAGTGGCTTTTAATTGCTGCCCATGCCAATTCTGTACTCAACAGAGACCATGCCTACCTGGTCAGGTGCCATCTGTCACTAACTACCTGTATTTCCACCCAAAGCCACAGGGATGTGGACCAGCTTGGGCTCCAGAAGCCACCGACACGCCTGGACAGAAGGTGAAGCAGAAAGCAGGTGGCACCAGATTGGGTCTGGTCCACCAATGGGACTCCTCAAACTCAACTGGTTTGTGTCCCCACAGCATGAAGGACCAGCAAAGCTACTTCAGGACCATCTGCATCTCTCCACACACCGTGTCCTTTACCTCCTGGGAGGCACAAAGGGAGCCTCTGACATAAGGAAGGTGACAGAAAACAAGGCTGCTGCCTGATTTGCACAGTTGGATGGCACCAAACGAAACACACGGTGCTGTGGAGTTTCAAGCGAGCGCCGAGTGAGGCTTATAAAGACAAGAAAAAAGAACCAAACAACTGGATTTTCTCTAATCAGACAGATAATATTTACAGCCTATGGGTGGTGCCAAAATATTTCAGGAAATGCCTAAGCCGGTCTGAATAAAAGCTCAGGAAAACACAGTATTTAAGGACAGCAACTACAACAGTAAGAATGAAAGCTTTCCACCCTCTCCCAGCCTCCTAACACAGTTAAAAATGATTGCCATAGCAATTATCAGGGCTAAGCTCATTTTGCAATCTCCTCTGTAAATTAAGTTCTGAGCTGAACATGTAAAAGACCAGCATAAAAACCAAAGGAATCATGTAAACTGGGAGGCACAGAATCAATGCGTGCTCTGCACAGACAGCACGCTGAGGTCTAATCCGTCCTGCTCAATTCCTGCACCAAGAGACTCGAGCTTCACTTGAGCTATTCCTCCCAGTAAGACATAAACATGATGCTTGAAAAACCCAAACCACAAAGCCTTTGGCCCATTTTTCAGAGAAATCTACCAGCTTTGACTGTCTGCCCTGGACTTACCGCAGAGCAGAGAAGTCCAGGAGGGCAGAACACAAGCACTGAATCCCTGGGGAACACTGGAGTCCCATCGCTTTTTTTCCCCAGTGAAACATTAGTAGATATGCCTGTATCTTTTCCCTAAAACACCACAACAAATCCCATCCTGGAAGCATTTTGTTTCCCCCCTCTCAATTACCAATTACATCTACAGATGCAGAAAACCACAGGTCCTGCAAGGATCATGTGTAATTTTATTCCATTTGTGCATTCAGACAAGATCTGTCTCTGCAAGTCTCAATAGTGCACCCAGAACCAGCCATATGCAACAAATGCTTGCACCTCTAGAAGAAAAATCAGGGAAACTATTTTCAAAGAACATATTAAAACAATTTATATCTGGTAGCTGGATGGTGCCATCATTACCTGCTCAGGCTTCAGGCCGGGGGGGACCCATGCATACTCTTCCAAGGCACAGCCCGAGTCGTCGTCAGAAGTTGAATTCCTTTGGAAGTCAAACATGAGCTTCGTGACTGTCTTCTCCATCTCCAGAGGCATAACTGTTACGATGTGCTCTTCCTGGGAGCACTTGCAGTGAAGGCAAATCTTCCTGCAAAGTGAGGAGAGAGGGAAAAGAGGAGATGCCTCAGTGAGCTGCGCTTTAAATAAGAAAGCAAAGCAATTCCTGTCAGCCGTTGGCCTGCAGAGACTTATGCTCAAGTGTTTTCTCATGCAAGATTTGTCTCTTTTACAGGGAGGAAATAAAAGTCCATATTTGCTGCAGCAACACTTGGCAATCCAGCTGAGTCAGACTGCCCAGTGTCTGGGGCTATGCAATTGCTTGTCCCTTTACTGCACCACAAGGAATATTTCCAGGGCCCAGCACAGGCAATGCCACACTCCCACCCAGTGCAGATTGACATGTCACCCATAATTCCAGAGCTGTTACCGAATTTAGGACAGCTGAGCGCTTGGCTAATATGGAAAATGGTGGATTGACTGGGAAGCTGTGAATGACAAGTCCTTTTAGCATGCTGATAGCATAAATTTGCTTATTAAAGTAGCATAAAAATTGATTATAGTCTGAACATATAAAGCTAAATTAAATTAAGGGAGGCTACAAAAACCACAGTCACACTACAATGGCATTTTAACCACCCAGCTCGGCGGTATGGGGAGGAAAGCACAAGAAAAACTGAAAGAACAGCCCACAGGTTGCAATTCAACAGCCATTAGCTTAACTCACACAAATATCACTTATTCTTAACACTACTTTTAAGACACTGTTCCTGCAGCTTGAGGTCTGTGATACTTTCTTCACAGGTTTGAACCTGAGCATTTATCTATAGGGCTGCAAGGACAGCATAGAATTATAGAATGGTTTGGGTTGGAAGCGACCATAAAGATCATCTACCTCCAACACCTCTGCCATGGGCAGGGACACCACCTGCCAGACCACGTTGCTCAGAGCTCCATTCAGCCTGGCCCGGAACACTTCCAGGGATGGAGCAGTCACAACTTCTCTGGGCAACCTGCTCCAGTGCCTCACCAGCCTCATAAGAAAGAATTTCTTCTTAATACCAATCTAACCTTATCCTGTTTCAGTTTAAAGCCATTCTCCCTTGTCCTGTCACTCCAGGCCCTCATAAAAACTCCCTCTCCAGCCTTCTTGTAGACTCCCTTCTGAAGTCCGATAAGGTGCTGATAAGATCGCCCCAGAGCCTTCTCTTCCCCAGGCTGAACAATCTCAATTGTCTCAGCTTTTCCTCACAGGACAGGTTTTCTATCCCTCTGATCATCACACCCCTTCACCAGGGCAACAGCAAAGGACAAACCTGGCTGAAAACATCCCCCTGACAAAGAAAAAGAGGTTAAAGGGAATGCTGATAAATTGGCTTCTATTTCTGAAAACTCAATGCTCTTCCACAGGCTGGGTCAATGGTATCTATTTTAAAGCAACCACACAGGATTCTGAATTAATTTGCACTAATGAAGCAGCACTGAATTCTGAGGAATGAGATAAGATTTCACTTGGGTAACAGAAGGGAGATGTCTCAGAAATAATAAGGTACCACAGAAAAATCAAGGGAAAAGTTAGCATAGCCATTGCAGGTTTCTCTGCTCTATGGAAAGGCAAAGAAATTCAGAGGGAAGCAACAGTTAAAGCCAGGGGCTGGAATTTTCAAACACCTTTCCTTCTTTTTCACCATTGTGTACAAGCCAGCTAAGCATACCAGCGCTCGGATCCAGCTTCGAGTCTAAATTTCCATTTGGCCATTACAGCACAAAAACTGCACTCTAGCAAAAGTCAAGAGGCTCCGTTAAGTCAAGCCAGGGAGATTTGCCAGATTTTCCCATTTCCTGCCTTTCATCAGAACTAAACCACACAGCGACCCCCACACACCCCAGCGTCTGGTTTGCGTCCAGTCAGAGAGTCTCGGCATCGCCTCTGGCTGTTACCTTACAAAATAATCAAGGCACCATTTCATGTGAATACTTTAATTAATCAGCTACCGTGGAAGGGCACTCTGCCCCAGCAAAGCTGCTGGTGTCCTTGCTGTTTCCATCTCATTTCACGATACCATCAGGAGCAGCTCGATAAGCGACAAGGTGTTAAGTATAATTCATAGCTCCAGAGTCCCAGATTCAGCATTAGAGATAGTTATTCTAATGGAGTTTAGGACTTCTTAGCCGAATTTTAACTTCCAGGACATTGATCACAAGCTTCAAAGGGGGAACAAACCCAACAGTCCATGCCTGGATAGCAGCAATGCTGGGAGCATGAGCACTCCCATGGGGAAAAAGGCAGCGTGCAGGTTTCTGCCTCCTTCCTGCTCTAGACACAACTCATCCAGGAGATGGGAGATGGCAGGAGAACATCAGAGGCCTTGGCTGAATGAGATAAATCAAGACTTGTAATAACAAAGAGTCAATGTATGATCAGTTAGACCCCAGCGGTCACTCCTGCCACCACCATCTCACAGCTCACACCACGCAGACCCAGCAGTGTGAGGACTGGGTCAGGAAGCTGATTTACCCCACCCACCCTCCGGCCCCATCCCAGGCAAGCAGGTACTACTGGAAGGTGCCTTTCCCAGTCAGAAAAGCAAAGTATGAAAATGACACAGGTAGCCTGCCTACTCAGCAGTGATATCCCCAGGCCAGGACAACTTTGCATCATTAAAACCTGACCATCTCCAGGCATGAGGTTTCTGCCACCTCCCTGGGCAAACTGTACAAAATTTAAGATCTTGCCCCTGAGATATTCAGTTCCCTTCCTTTCCCCTCATTAAAAGCAGAAGATTAACAACTTTAATTACAATTTTCTTTACATTAGGATATGTTCTTCCATGGGAACAATACCCAGTGTCCTAGGAGTGTCTTTCCACTTCTATGATCAGGTTTCCATGACTTCTTCACATAGGTCTCACTTACTCAACTTTATTTTATCATCTTCCAGCTCACTATAATTAAAAATAATTCCCCGTAGTATAAATTTAATATAAAAATGTACATTTCAACTGTGAGATGAAATTGAAAAAAACAGCATTCCCCCACCACACTCAGAGCAGAGAGGCACGAAGTGAGACGACGCACGTGTCAACGCTCACCCACGCGTGCAATGACCGGAGGGACAATGTGCTCTGGGTGCTGATGCCATGGTGGACAACTAGTGGGTGTTGGAGAGGAGCAGGGCCATGACTGGCAGCCTGCCTAGCTGCTCCTGCCAGCAACAGCTCGTTAGTCATTAACTCATGAAGAGTGGCAGAGCCTGGAGATGCTCAGTGCATCGGCTGCCGCACACCTTACCATAGACAGTGCCACAGCCCACGTGGGGTGGCACCTCCTGCAAAGGGAAACCCAATAGCTTGGCTCTGGCCAGACACAAGCCTCAACTAAGCACCACCAAAGCTTCAGCAACAACAACTGCTGCTGCCTGTGCAGCTCCACACAACTTGACAAGAATGTGGGCAAGTGGGGTTTTTTTAAGCAAGAATAAATTAACGCCAATCACTATTTGGAAATCCGGTCTTCATTCCTGAGCCTTTCCATCTTGCTTTCATCCCAGAGAAATGTCTGCAAGCTTGTCTCATGCAAGTACCTGCCCTGGTGATTGAGAGAGATCTCCAGCATCAGGGAGGACCCAGGGTTGAAGATATTTTGGTGCTGTTACTAACAGATAGAAACATCCTGGAGTATCACTTGAATCCAGGAGCTGAGGATGGGTGAGGAGAAACTCAGGGAAGTTGTGTTTCCCAACGAAGCAAGGAAAGCTGACAGCATGACCAGCTTTGGGCACGGAGGGTAAATAAAGGAGCTGTTAAGCAGCTGTAGGTTGTGGACAGGGAGGAAAGCAGAGCAGGAGCCAGCCAGGCTGCTGCGGGAGGCACGAGCTGGGGAGCATCAGCAGGGCTGCTCAGCACAGAGCTGCGCACAGAGCTGTCCTGTAGCAGGGCCAGGATGTTGGGAAGCAAATAGGGAGAAAAAGAACATTTCCTGGTGTCAGATTTAGCTGGAAAGGAGCCTGCCTTGAATTGACTTCACATGGTACAAAGCAGCAACAGCTCAAAAACAGACTGAAGAATTTCTTCTCCTCAAGGCCAGAGCTTCATGTGATGAAGTTACAAGATGGATGTGCTTTATTTTGCAACGCCTGCTTTTACATGCTGCTCTTGGCATGGCAGCTAGTCCTCTCCTCAGAGGAGGCTCTAACCCCCATCCCTGGCCACATCCCTACCCACACACTGGTGCAGGGGGATGGTGCAAATAGATCCACCACCCCACGCCCACACTCTTCTCTCTGCAGATGAAAACAGACACACAAGGGGAATCTGAAGCAAACAGGATCCAACACACCAAGCAGAGAACCTGGCTCCTCGCTTGGGATGCAGAAGAATGCTTCCAGCCCCAGCCCGCCTACATACTGCAGGATGTGAACCCAACTGACCTGCAAGGTCTCCGGGACAAGGCAGTCCCTTGTTGTACACTGTGGTTAGCAAAGCACAGCCTCTGCCATTCTGGAACCTCCCGCAGCCCTTTCATCATGGCAATGGCACCAACAATAAGCTAAATCACGCTGGAAATACTAGTGCTGTGCAAGTGGCTCTGGAGAGAGCCACGAGCGTGACCCCAGCTTTCTGAAGAGATCTGAGGTCTCCCTGCTGTGAGAAACCAGCAGACTCCACACCAGGAAAGCATAAGCAGAGCTAAAAAGCCAGGGAACAGGGATGGGGGACAGCCTGCAGACAAGGCAAAGGGAGTCCTTGCCAGTGGTGTGTAGCTCCAGCAAAGGAGCTGGACAAGCTGGTCTCTCTCAGCAAACAGCCTGAATGTGTTGGGGTCTGAGGTGGCACAGGCAGGATGGGACTCTCTGGGGTTGTGAGGACAGCACAGCCTTGCCTGCAGGAATAGATCCTGGATGTAGGACTCTTCTCTTCTAGCCCAGTGGGTGGACACACAGCATCTAGTGCAGCAAACAGCACCAAGGCAAAGCCTGCCCATACTGGAACCTGCAGATACTCTGAGGAAGGGCAGTGCAAGAGCCCAACCCCTCCTGGCAACAGCAAGAATGAAGGCAGAGTTTAAAATCGTGGCAGAAATGT